CGAGGCAGCGGCAATGCAATATGGGCGAATGCAATCCTCTACTCGGAGGAAAGGTCGCAACCTTGACCAGCTCTATCAGCGGCATAGATAGAGTGGCAGCATGCAAGCAATGAACATAGCGAGAAGCACGAGCTCTGCTTCAATTAGCAAAGCACCGGAAGTGGCAAGTGCAGCGCGCAGTAATATGGCATAGACGATAGATGCGGCAGCAAAGAGACGCGAGAAATCAGTACTTAAACGGCGATCTAACGTAGTAACAAAAGGATAGCGGCAGCAGCCCAGCGTTCATGCTGATTACTTTGCCACCTGGTTCCTCCCTTTCTCCCAGCCCCCTATCAGTATCCCTACCTCAGCCACGTCCGTCTGATCCTTGATCCAAATATGGCCAATAATCCCCTAACTGTACGGTATGTACTAGTACTGCACGACCTTCCTGTCTATTACTCCTGCGAGCGGAAGTTTTCTATTTGCGTAAACGTTTTCGGAAACTGTATAATCACTTTTCAGAAATAGAATTCAGCAATTGGTATTGCTGAATTTCTGCATTTGTATTCCTGAATTTCTCGTTTGCGTAAGCTCTGTAATACAGAGTAAGCTCTCGATATAGTGACACCCCGCTATAGTGACTTTCGTCGTTACAGTGACTACTTAGCTGCTAGGCTCCCACCACATGTCCATTTCTGAAGCGCAAATGGCGATTTGATTTTGTATAGTGACATGGAGCTCTACAGTGACTTTTCCGGTACAGTGACCGCCAAATTGGCCTTGTCACTGTACATGACGTACTTTTTTATTTATTTTTAGGGTGTTTCTCATACATCCGCGGAATCAATCGGTTCCGTTCCAACTTGGCCCGATGTCAAAGACATAAACTCACTAATCTTCCGTTGGCGTGAGGTACGCCGGCGGTGGACACCTACGTGGTCAATCTCCACGTCGAGAATGGCCAGGAGATCGGCACCGCGAGATTTTTCAAGGAGCTCATGTTCATTCGCCACGAGTAACGCTAGTTCCTCTCGAAGCGCCTCCACCGCTTTCTAGTAGCGCAACAATGAGGGTTTTGCCACCCGTTCGCTATTCTCCTCTTCGGAGTCGCTGTCCCGAGGGACACTCCCTTCCGTTTCAACATTTCCCACCTCGATTGCGCTATTCACAGCCACAGCAAGCGCGTTTGCGGCCGTGACGGGTTGGCAAATATCTACACCTGCTTTGTCACCAAAAAATGCATCCAAAGCGGCGTCATCAACCTGATCCATTACATTTAAATCAGCGAGATTCCTTACATCCTCCAGTAGCATCTCAATATTAGCATCATCCCATACTGTTACTTCCATTGCTGCTTCCACGTCAGTGGGTATTCGAGCATTTCCGGTATCCTTTAGCCATTGTTCTCCTGCGCTTCGCGCAGCAGCAGCACGTTGAGCACAAATGGCTTTCTCTACACTCAGGGATGAACCACTTTGCAGCCTGAAAGCCGGTTCCGCCACACCCTTACAACCATCACGTAACTCAATCACCTGCTGCCTTTGAAAAGGTGCTAAAACACCCGTGGAAAGCCATCCATTCAGCACGACCGTCTTCGGTACCATGTTCCACGCTTTGGCAACCATAGAGACAGAGTCATAAAGGGTAACTGACTGGTTGATTTTAAAAGGCTTTCGCTGTTCCATAGGTTGTTTCATTTGTTCATCAAGAAATGTCAAAATGTGGCTGACAAGAAGGCGCCGGAACGCACATTTGAATGAACAACAAATGGCTGCGTCCACAGGTTGTAAACAAGAGGTCATGTTTGGTGGTAGAAAAATGGATTGTAGTTGTCATGAGGCTCATAAGTTATAGCATGAGCTGAGCAGTTGTCAACAATGCTCGTTATAGAACGACCCTGTAAACGTGCCATTGTATTGAAACCTTTCACGATGCGATTCCATATCACCTGCATATTCCACGCATTCTATTGGGATGTGTAAAAACTCCCAGGTCACGTAGAGGATCAAAATGACGAGGAAAGCTTCGCGGTCTATGAGATTTCCCAATAATTGTTAGAGGGGCCTTGCTCTCATCCGCAAATACAGTCAGAACAGCCGTGAGCCTATCTTTGACGGGTACGTATGTGGCTGGTAGCGCAGTAGGGCGGATCGCCCGACTCGGAAACGATCTAAATAGAACTGTAACCTCATCTGTGTTACAGATATCATAGATGGAGTAAATAGCCAACTGTTTCTGTATCTCAACCTGGGCTTGTTGCACGGTTGCCGTATCGAACAGCCCACTTTGTCCCGCACCACGCTTGCTAATAAAACCATTCCTAAACACGAAATTCGTTACCCACTGTGAGCTTGCTTTGAAACCTGTAAGGCCTTTAACCTCAGCTTCGAGTTGGGCCTTGTCCATTGATTCTGATTCGTCAACTGACGAGAGTTGCTCATTGAGTTTCTCCACCATCTTTTCTCTGATTTCCATCGCAGCGCGCTGAACGACATCCTCCCTGAACAATGACTCCCCCGCATATAGACTATTCGATCATGCATATATCTGTGAAGGGCAAGTTCCAATTTTGGGAAGAATCCTTGCTTTAAGCGCGTCTTTTTAGCGATACGAAGCGTGCTGACGTCTAAACCCATAATATTGTTTGCTCGTTTGCGCCAAGCAAACACAGTTGGCCTCGATACGTGACGTGATACTTCTCCGCGATTTCCGCATGGGACCAGGGACGCTTGGTACTGTCGTTGACCTTTGCCGGTCCAAATGATCCATCAGTCTTTGCTCCAAGCAAGTCAAGGGCTTCTTTCTTCGTTTTCAAAGGGGTTTGTTGGCATTTCGGAGCCATGGCGAGAGAGGGATGTGAAAGACGTAAGCAAAAGAATGACCAACAGAATGACCAACAGAGAGTTGTAACACTATCACAGGATGTTTAATTCAATAAATGATAAACAGTTGGTGCACTTCAGGGCTTCAGAAGGTGTCCCATTGCAACGTTTATAGAGTATTGAGGCTTTTTGTTGTGCATCGTTTAATTATCGTTGTGCTATAACGGTCTGCGAAGGATTGGGAATGCTCAATAATGGCTATGGAGAGATCGTAAACGACTCTGTCGTTTGCTAGTGGGGAATGAGTATCCGTTGCAGGAACTGAGCTCAAAAAAAAGAATCCGTTACGCCTCACCAGCTCAGATTCCAACCTACACGTGGCCACCTTGCAAGCCCTACAGTGACTCACCCGCTACAGTGACTCTGCCATCAATTTCGGGCCGCCACAAATTTTGTCACTACAGTATATCGAGAGTTTACTCTGTAAAAGAAATGGTTGTCTCAGCATTATTTTTATTTATTTTTGATTCGTTGAGCAAAGGGATCAAACCAGAGAGATGAGCTCTACAGTAGTGTCTTGCCTTCTGTGCCAGGACCCAGCACACGACAACGGCGTTGTTGGTAGGGTCTTCTGTTCGTTTTTCTCAGGTTTCCTTGGGGGGACCTCCGCGTGCTTCCACCCTTCCTTCCCCATTTTTCTTTATAGCCGCCATGCTTCTGTTTGGAAGTATGCGCGGAACAATCAAAAAAACCTTGAAATTACAACTAAAATCTAATGCGAATAATCAAATACTTCAATCAAGCCTCACAGGGGTTTCGCGAAATCTGACGTATCTGTTCTTGAGAACATAAGATCATGCTTTCATTTCGGTCTGACGTGAACTTTGTTTCCTGCACACGTGCCTCCCTCGTTCATCTGCAACGAAAGACGCGCACTGCGTTGAACTTGGCCGCCGAGATGTCCGTGACCGATTTGTCAAGTCCTGCAACTTCTCTAAAAGCTTCCAAACAACTGTACGGTCATGACAGTTGTACCAGGTGGGGACTGGTTTATTTGCCAGAGGCGTGATAGCCTGAGAATTTGGCTAGCGGGATGTTGCGGGTTTGGAGAACATGAAAAGGTCGTTTATCGTGATAGAGAGATAGAAGGGATGGGGCGTGTCCTTGCGCTAGTGTGGGGCACTTTTTAGGGGATGACAGGGGTACAGGAGCCCGCAGGCGACGTGGGGGCATCGGGAACAGAATGTTGCCGGGGTCTACGACTACTGCTCGCGCCCCACCTCCGAGCGGGCATCGGATCATGTCGGTCACCTACGCAGCTCCGCCCCCGGCGGCGATGCCGCCCTCATGAGCACAAAGTACTTGCTGTGGACGGAGCTCATGGTGGGAACAGCTGCCGTCTCAGCCACAAAGCCGCACTCATAGCATAGAGGACCCCGCTCACCGGGATTTGGCACGCCTCAGTCGTGCTTCACCTCATCCAGTTTTCGCTTCTCGTCTACGAGTACCTGACTGCTGTGCGCGTCGACGCTTATGTCTCGTGCGAGGGGTACCATTTCGGGCAATCGTGATAAAATTTTCTTGGAGACAGTTTTAGAGAAGGCTACATACACTGTAATGTAATAGTACTGTCGGAACCTCACGTGTAGGACACGTGTACAAGGCGTTCGGAGATCGCATGGAGACAACTGCGATCCACAATGCCCACTTCTGCTGCCATCGGATGGCAACGTCGACTCACTTCACTGCTGCGAATCGCTCCTTTTGGGCAACTGCGCAACAAGCCTTCTTCGGGGCATCTCGGAGTCGTGCATTTCTTTTGCGGGATTCTGCCGCGCTGCCGCCATGACGCGCAATGCCATGAGTGTCGGGAGCCGGCCAGCAGCGCATGTCTTCGGCTTCGTTCCTTCTCTGCTGCCTGTTGTCTCACGACCTGGCTTTTTTGCTTCTCCGCTCCAACGCAATTCAAGATCGCTGTGGAAGGGGCGCCTAAATGCGAGGATCAGATGTACGGCAGCTGCTTCGAGGTCTTCAACACATCCCGTGTTTCCGCATGAACAAGGTCTCAATACAAGCGCTAAAGCTTCGGCACCGCTTACTTTTCAGGATGCATTGCAGCGCCTACAGCGATACTGGACTGATGCGGGGTGCATAATGTGGCATCCATACAATGTTGAAGTTGGAGCAGGCACGATGAATCCCGCAACTTTTCTGCGCGTCCTCGGACCCGAGCCGTGGTCGGTGGCCTACGACGAGCCATCAATACGACCAGATGACTCTCGGTACGGGGACAACCCCAATCGCCTTCAACGTCACACTCAATTTCAAGTGATTGTGAAGCCGGCCCCGAAGTGTCCACAGGAGCTTGTTGTCGGTAGCTACGAGGCTCTGGGTATTGATACATCCAAGCATGACATTCGCTTCGTTGAAGATAATTGGGAAAGCCCAGCTCTTGGCGCATGGGGTCTTGGGTGGGAAGTGTGGCTTGACGGAATGGAAGTTACCCAGTTCACGTACTTTCAACAAGCGGGCAGTATGCCTCTGGAGAGCGTTTCTGTTGAGATCACTTATGGTCTCGAACGAATAATTATGTTGCTTCAGGGAAAGAAACATTTTAGAGACATTGTTTTTGCTCCCGGTATTACCTATGGTGAGATATTTATGCAAAATGAAGTTGAGATGAGTCGCTACAATCTAGACGAGGCCGACGTCTCCCGGAACAATCAGATGTTCGAGCTCTACGAGAAAGAAGCTCTCTTTCTGCTGTCAAAGAGACTTCCTGTACCAGCGTACAATTATCTCTTGAAGGCGAGTCAAACGTTTAATATCCTTGACGCTCGTGGTGCCATCGGCGTAACTGAGCGCGCCCGTTATTTTCAGCGAATGCGACTTTTATCTCGCGATGTTGCCAGATTGTGGGTGGAGCGAAGGGAGGAGGAAGGTTTCCCTCTAATTCTCAAGACTACAAGCCAGGACACAAAGGAAATGCAAACTTCTCTTCCAGTACATATGCCTTCGCCTTCTAGTGATACAGCAGATTTCGTTTTTGAGATTGGACTTGAAGAACTGCCCGCCTCTGATGTGCCCAGCACTATATCTCAGGTGAAAACCTTACTTTCCGAAATTCTTTCGGCTGAGAAATTATCGCACTCCGCTCTTGAGGTTAACGGTACGCCGAGACGTGTGTGTGCACTTGTGAAGGGCCTCAAAACTCGACAGGAAGACGAATCCATGCGGATTCGGGGGCCACCGCTACGGATTGCACTGAAGGACGGCAAAATGACAAAAGCGGCACAAGGGTTTAAGAGGTCTCAAGGTGTCGACGACAGTTGCATTGAAGTATGCGAAGACGATGGCTATATGTATGCCAATGTGGAGTACACAGGTAAGACGGCGTTTGAGGTCTTGTCGGACGCAATTCCATCTGCCCTGCTTAGCAAGATTAATTTTGTTAGGAGTATGCGCTGGAATGACTCTGGGGTCTCGTTCTCCCGGCCCATTCGTTGGATGGTTTGTTTATTGGGTGATCAAGTTGTTCCATTTGCATTTGCCGGCGTGCAGTCCGAAAGAACCACACGATCGTTGCGACAAAGAAACGGGTTTGCGAATGATGTCGAAATCCGTTCGGCATCTGAATACCAATCTGTCCTTTCGAGACTAGACATAGTGCCTTCGGGAGAGGAGCGAGCGATAAGAATACGCATGGGAGCAACAAGTTTAGCGAGTGACGTGGGTGGTCACATACCACCTGAGTACCTCAGTGGACCCCTTTTTGACGAGATAACAAATCTGGTGGAGAACCCGATTCCGATACTTGGTCGCTATGATGAGGCGTTCCTCAGGCTCCCAGAGGAAGTTTTGGTCACAGTCATGAAGAAGCATCAACGGTATTTTCCTGTAGTGAGCAACGCGACTGGTGACTTGCTGAATGCTTTTGTGACAGTTGCTAATGGGGAGTCTGATAATATCGACCGATGTGCTGTACGACAAGGAAATGAAGCAGTTCTACAAGCAAGGTATTCAGACGCGACATTCTTTTACACCAAGGATTCGGACGGGAAGACTCTCGGTGACTTCGTGCCGCACCTCAAGAGCATCACCTTTCAGGAATCAATGGGATCTATGCTGGAGAAAGTTCGAAGGGTTGAAGCCACGACTCGTGATCTGTGTAATCTCATGAGTTTAGATGAATACGAGTCAGAAACAGCTGCACTTGCAGCAAAACTGTACAAAGCAGATCTGGCAACATCCATGGTGGTCGAAATGACTGCTCTAGCGGGCATAATGGGTCGGCATTACAGCGAAAAATCCGGGGAAGTCCCCGTCGCCGTAAGTCAGGCTATATTCGAAGCAAATCTTCCTCGCTTCAGCGGGGATGAGCTTGCATCATCTCTTCCAGGAGCAGCGGTGAGTGTCGCCGATCGCATTGATTCGTTGGTAGCGCTTTTCAGCGTTGGACTGCTGCCGAAGTCCACATCGGATCCGTTTGCTCTTCGAAGAGCAGCCCTCGGTGCCGTACAGACATTGATTCAATGCGGAAGAAGTGTGGATTTACGGGAAATTGTATCAATATCCGCAGAGGCTATTTCTTCCCAGACTGGGCAAGAAGTAGAGGCTGACACGGTTCATGCAGTAGTGGAATTTATCACGCGGAGGCTTGAATCACATTTACTCGATGGACTCGAATATCAAGATGATGTTGTGAAATCAGTTTTGGCTGTCCCGAAGAATGCTGTGAATCCTGTTTCGGCGGAGCGACTGTGCAAGACTGTTTCCAGACTGCTGTCTACTAGTACAGAAAGACAACTCGTCATAGAAGCACAGGAAGTGCACGGACGAGCCGCACGACTTCTGAAAGGCGTAAAGGGCTTGTCGCTGGAAGAATTACGGTACCACGCCGTAGACGACAGACTTTTCGAGCACGATGAGGAACGTCGGTTATTAGAGGCTATTCTTCACGACAAGAGCGATATCGGCCTAGTCAATAGACTTCAACGGTTGGTCTTAATGAAGCAGACAGTCCATAACTTCTTTGAGAATGTGTTTGTTAACGCAGATGATGAAGCTACTCGAATGAACCGGCTTGCTCTCTGCGCGAGAGTTGTAGCTGTGTCGGAAGAATTCTTGGATTTAAATCAGTTGGTGCTCTGAGAGCGGACATTTCCTTAGGTTTGTACACTGAGACATGCACTACAGCATATGATCCTAGAAAGATCGTTCTCATGAAGATAGAATGTTACGGCCTGCTTGGCTTCTGAGACGATTCGGAGGTACGTCGAAGAGAAGCAGGAACGCTCAGACATGGGCCTACCTAGACCGGCACGGCCTGTCGTAATTGGGTGACTGACGTGCGGAATCTGGACATCCAACATCTGTGCATGGCTTCACAGCGAAGCATTCACAACGTGAAGCACACGGAAATGTTCTATCCGCAAAATTGAAGTACAGAACTCTGATCATTATGACCAGAAGGTTGCTACTTCAATTACCTGCTTGCAATGATGCTACCGGCTTGCTTCATTACGGCCTACTCTGACGGTACAGGAAGATATTTTTTTCTAGCGCCATTGCCGCCGGTGATTGTGTTAGCACCATCTTCTTCGTCATCATCATCCACAGGGTAGATAGGTTCGTGATCACCGCCTCTGCCAACCTCTCCCACATCTGGGCTCCCCCGCCGGCTGTACAGAAAAATAATAAATACTCCAACAGCGATGATCAATAGACTGCCGATAAATCCGTCCACAGTACCGAATGCCAATCCTGCCTGTCTTCCAAGCCGACAAAAGCATCGACTTCCACTGCAGTCTGGATATGGGACAAGCCCAGCTATTCCACGCTTCTCTCTACAGGTCTGCGTTTGAAAGTTGTAACTACAACCAGGAGACAAGGCGCATTCGGCGCATTGCGTGTATGAGTTGCAACTGCTTCCCCCTCCGCATCCCTCCGCTGCCTCTGCAAAACCAAGGCGTTTGTTTTTTCTGTCGTAGAGAGAGACGTATCTCTGCATCACTGTGTTTCCAAAAATTATGTCTGTCCCTGCTTGCATTGATTCCATTGCCATTATACCTACACAGCGGTATCCTCTCTGTGCGGGATTATCCATGTGCAACATGTAATCTTCTGGGCGTAGTACTAGATCAAATTCACCATTTTCTCCAAGATGAAACGTGAACGAAGGGAGCTTCGCAATTAAATCCGGATCCATCTTAACACACGCTGCTGGCATAAACCACGGCTTTTCCGTACCGCATATACCCGGTACGTCACAATGAAATTTCATAAGGTGCTCCAGGAGCATGAGAAAGGCTGTTTTGGAAACAACGACAAGCGTCGTGCCGCTATCGAGTATACCAGAGCGCAGGTTTGGAACCGCAATTTGGCGTTCCCCGACCGTGATATGATTGCTAACATTCATGGTGTAGAATGTGGGTGGGTCTGAGAGGGCCAGTGGCACGTAAGTAAGCTTGCCTTTTGCCATTGCCTCGTCGAATGCGCCAAGAACAAGTTTGCCACCTTGTCCGGTAATGCATATTGAAAAGCTGTCGTCCACAACACCCGCTTTCACCATCTGCTGAAATGGCGGTTCTACACATGTAGGGTTGCAAGCCAGGGCCTCGTAGGCCATCCCCAATATCCCGTCCACAATTGGTCTTTCAAAATCTACCGAGTCATGAAGAATACCACCGAAAATTACAGGAGCCGCGATGCTGCCATTCCCCCATGCCATGAGGTCGACCATGAGGCCGCCCCGTGCCAAAGAGCCATCTCCGTATCGGAGAAGAAAACCACAAGCTTGAGGATTTTCCTCTGAGCAGCAAGCATCGCGGGAGGAGCACACCGTGCACTTCCGAGAAGCACAGGTATCGGAAGCGCAAAGATCGTTGACACAGGATATCCACCGAGCATGGCCACTGTGTGAGAGGCGTTGGTTGTAGCGCTGGTCCGAAGGGCGGCAGCGATCGCATTCGGCGAGGGGAAGTGCTAGGGTGGATGAACCGGTGTCGACCTGTACTCGGACGTGCTGACCGCCGATTGTAATACGGGTGTAGTACTCTCCGACCTTGGTAATTCCGCCAAGGAGATCGACGGCTACGGTGCGGGAAGAATAAGACTTGGGCGGCCAAATGCGAGAAGAAAGGAATCTTGATGCGAGGGTTTGATCAGGCGTGAACAAGCGGACATTCTTTGGGAATCCCTGATGAGAATTTGGAGATGAAGGGCGCGGATGTTGCCATTCGAGGTCAGCAACCACTGGATTGGCGTTGAGCAGGGTGAATTGGATCAACAGAAACAAAAGGACGCATGAAGAGGCAGCGGACCTTCGCGTCATGTCGGAAGGAGTGATCAAGCGTAAGGGTGATCACTCATGTGAAGGCGACCTTTGTCGAAGAACCCGATACCTGTCAGTGGAAGTCACGGCAGAGTAGTCAAAGATGTTGACGCGCAAAGCCCCCCCAGCCTACACACGCCCTGCGCGTTTTAGAGTGTTGATGTGCACATCAGGTTATGTTGGAGTTATACAGGCAGCAATGCGCAAGGCTCCTTTTGTTTACGTGTAATACGTGGCAGATGAAGAGATGGGCGTGGTCTTCATTGGTCGCCAGGACAAAAGACTGTACATACAGTATGCACTGAACGGCACTTAAATGAAATTCCTTGAGCTCCCATTACTGCCCTAAATCGTCACAAACCGGAGCACAGGGTCCCTCTTTTGTATCAAATTCTTAAAGCAACCATGACACTCACACACACACAGCTGCAAAGCCGCTGTCTGGTACCCTTGGGTACCGTATTCAACAGAAAACGCACCGCATTTACAAGCACCACGCACTCAGCTTGTATTCGTTGTCGGTAGCCACGCCACAATTTAATGACACGCCCGCACGGTCCTCCCTTTTTTTACTAATAATAGTTGCGCCCTGCTCTTTGGGCTATGACATAGCTTTGATCATCCCTACACTAGACTCCTTTCTATTCCCCGCTTGGTTGTCCAGCCCCATGCCTAACTCACTACTTCAGAGGAACAGAGTTGCACTTCTAGGTCTTCTGCTGCGCGCGAGACGGAAGTATTAATTGCCTCCTCTTTTCCCCACTTCTTATTGGCGCTGCACTCTCGCATCAAAGTCCGCTCCCCAGTACGAATCCTTAATCTGTTTTCTCTGGCAATCCTAGGACACACATGTCCACTGAGCCTCTCAAAAATATGAAATTCTCAGCTGTGAACGGCGTGGAACAAAAGGCACCACTGAATGAGTCCAACTCATTCAAAAAAGCCCCTGAAAATCTTCGCTCGCTGAGCACTGTTTCTGGGCCACGGCAGTCTGCATCGGGCCCTAGAACCTCGTTCCAGACGAGGTCGTCCAGCACATCTCTTCGACCAGGTTGTTTGGCCGTGAAAGCGTTCTCTGCTCCTGACCCAGGTCTCAGGAAGAGCGGCAATATTGCGCCTTTGGCTAAAGCGCGCTCAAACATGGAGTTGGCTCTGTCCAAGCAGTTCAGCAGCAACGCACGCACAACACGCAAAAGTACCAGTCAAAGCTTTATCGATAGTCGTAGAAGAGAAGATGCACTGATTCAAAACACTTCATGTCTTACGGATGACCGCAAGCCACGTGCGCGTATTACTTCTGTTGGGAAAGGCGTTCCACAAGGCCATGGGGAAGCGCGTATTGAACGGGAACAAAGGCGTCAAAGCCACCCTCCGTATACACCAGAATTTGTAAAACAGTTGCGCAAGAAAAGCTCACTCAGCAGAGGGATGGCCCAGGGGATGAAAGAGGCGCAGTCGAAACAACAGACCTTCCCCAATCATCTTCCAGACATCGTGCGACAAGAAGAACTTCTTTCGCCAGTAACCAACGATGCTGACTCAGATTCTGGGAGCGAAACAGAAATGGAAAACAGACTCCGTGACGCTTTGGAGTTTTTGCTGTTTCCTCCACAAGCCTCGAATGACGATGAATCTCAGAGAGCTTTGAATCAGGTGCACTGCAGTTTACGGTCTGGAAGGCACTGTCCATCTAGACGTCTGGAGCGATTTTTACGGGAGATCTATCGAGCTATGGAGGACTATGAAGAAGAACATGAGGTCCAAGAGAGAGCTTGTGTAGTCCTTGGAAAGATTGCACAGGACATGCCATCAGCTCAACCGACGATTGCTGACACTGGTGGTGTGAAACAAATCATGAAGGCCATCCAACGATACAAAAAGCTTGATGCACTTCAAGATAAAGGTATTTTCGCGTTAATGTCATTAACTAGAGACGCCGCAGCAAGAAACTGTATTCTTGAAGAGCGAGGAGTGGAATGCGTTTTGCGGGCCATGGTTGAGTTTCAGGACGTTCGGACTATACTAAAGAACGGGGCTAGTACGTTATGTAACCTCGCTTCAGCATCAGAGGTTGGAAAGGAACGAATTGGTAGAGTGGATGGTATCGATACCATTATCAATGCTATGAACAGGCATGAGACAGATGTTGAACTCCAAACTTGCTGTTGCCTTGCATTAAGAAATATTACGTACGGTTCAACAACAAATCAGTGGATTGCAGGCAGGGCTTTTGCGCTCGATTCATTAATAAGACTAATGAAGAACTTCTCGAAAGACACCAATGTCCAGTACCAAGGGTGCTGGGCGTTGGCAAATATCTGCTCACAGGATCCTGGAAACAAAGACCGCGCGGGCGGTGGTGAGCTCATTGAAACCTGTCTAGCAGCAATGGAAAATAATATGAGCCAGACACACGTCGTTGAAAAGAGTCTTTCTGTCTTGAGCAATATCAGTGACAAGAACCTTGACAATCAAGTGCGTATTAAAAAAGCGGGAGGTACGAGACTCATTTTAAAAGCACTGGAAGGGTACCGATCAAACGAAACAATCGTGATACGTGCTTGCTCCGCGATACGGTTCTTGTGCTTTTCAAGGGAGAATCGTGATGAAGTTTTTGAGTGCGGGGGGTTAAAGCTGTTAACTCGAATTCTTGGGGACGGGGAGGACGTTCCTGCCATCGCCGAAAGCGCAATTCTTGCGCTGGGAAATGCTATCTGCGACCACAAGGAGGGGAAAAAACTCGTTGGTCGCTACGGCGGAATAGCAACAATCGCTGATGTAATGTCCAAGCATCTGGATCATGAGGGGATTCAAGAAAACTGTTCTCTAGCTCTTCGAAATCTGTCAGATTCAGATGAGCTCAATTCACGGCTTCTTGGGGATTCCGGCGCTATCGACATGGCAGTTTATGCGATGATGGGATACCCGCAAAATGCACAAATCCAGGAGCAATCATGCGCCATGATGTTCAACATCGCATTTTTCGATCACAATCTTCGGACTATGAAGGAGCTTGCAGTTGCGAATGTGGTTGAACATGCCAAAGAGTTCCACAACAACAATCCGGATGTACGATTCCAGGCGCTGGCGTTGCTACAAATATTGCAAAGCAGAGACGACCAGACCTCTCCGACAAAAATCCGATCTATGGGAAAGTTTCAATCCTCACAGACTAGAAGAAAGTACCCACAAACATGAAAAGCATGGGGCCGCAGAAAAATAATACCTACGGTATATGGGGAGTGGAGGGTCCAAAAACACAGGTTGCTTTTGTTCTCAAAGACTTCTGAACGTTGGGGTTGAAGGTGCGTGCAATTTCCAAGATTGGACATGTTTCCGGGCATGGACAGCTGGTAACTAGAAAAGCAGGTCGCGACATACCGAAGTGTGCCTTATTTGCGGAGACACACTGATTGCCTGGCACCTGCTGGCTTCCTTCGTAGCTAAGTGAAATGTAAAAAGTTAAATTTGTTTACGGCAAGCCCTGCCCCGGAGACGTCCTTGAGTTAAAATTCTAATGGCCGGATGGCGAAAAACTGATCTAAAACTTGATCTGAGACTTCAGAACGTCTAGTCTGATGGTTGGCAACGATAGGTTGCAACACCTTGATGAGCTCTGCCTTGATTTCCCCAGACAGCATTTCACCGGACGAGTAAGCAGCCCGGATGTGCTCAAGTTTCTCATCATCCTCCAAGAAAAACGTTAGGTATCGGTAAGAAATGTCTACGTCGACGTTCCCTCCGAGTCGTCGATGCTCCTCCACAGTCTCCCTGCCTCCCGAGAAGGCATACTTGTTGACCTTTGTCTTGATCTTTTTGGGCGTATCGTCCAGGAAGATAGCAGATTCTGCAAGAGAGGAAGACATTTTAGTATTATCACCTTGAAGCGCCGGGAAGAACTTTGAGTGAATGAGTGCCGGTTTGAGGTAGTTGAGCCTCGGTGCTGCGTCTCGCGTGAGTCTAAAATATGGGTCCTGGTCAATAGCACATGGAATGAGACACGGAATATCGACGGCACCGCCAAGGACGACAGGGAAACTTGTAGAGAATGACGGCGCAGCCTGGACGGCCGGGAAGGCGTGTTTGCCGATGTTATCCGAGTCCGTAAAGCCGAAGATGGCGCGGGCCTGATTGTATGTGGTAATGCGCTGGATGCGCAATACGTTTAGATAAAGCGAGGCGATGTAGGAGGTGTCCGAGAAGATAAAGGTCTTTGCGGGATCGAAACCAACAGCGATGATGTCTTTTGCGTTCTCGCGAGCGAGGCCCATAAAATGCTCGATCGGTGGTGGTGGTTTATCGCCCTTCTGTTGCTTGGCGAAGAGAAACTTTTCGTCATCGGTAAGCTGAATGACGCACGGAACGTTGAAAACTTTTTGCAGATAAGCTGTGAAGATGAAAGGAACAAGATGGCCGAGATGGAGGGCAGTGGACGAGGGCCCACGGCCAGTGTAGAGGTAGAATTTCTTGCCTGCTTCGTAGTTGTTGAGGAGGGCCTCGAGATCGCGATGGGAGAAGAAGATACCTCGTCGCAGAAAGAGATGAGGACGGTGGCCGGTGAGGGCTTCGAAGCGGGCAAGAAGTTCCGGGGAGATGGGACGGGAACCGAATTGGGATATCAACTTGTCGTAGTCGATGATGCCTGATACTTCCCACGGGGTGACAATAGGGGCGGGGGCTTGGTCATCATTTGTGGCGGGAACATCAGGTGGCGTACTGAGATCTGCCATGCGAGAGATGGAGATTGCGGGAAGGAAAGGCAGGGGAGAGTGCAAGGGTGGGATCACAACTTCGGCGATGGGCAGGTGAGCACATTGTTGGCGAGTTAAAAGGGCTGCGGTACGAAGCAGAAGGCCACGTCCGTCGTTGACGTGTTACAGGCACGCCAGGCACGCCAGCGAGGACGTAAGTGCGAGATTGGATTACCGAATCATGACAAAATTAGATCACGATTTCATACGTAGGTGAAGTGTGGGGAAGCCACGTGTAACGTTCAGATCAAAGGATTAAGAAAAAGGGGAAAAAACTGGTGAAAGGCCTGAGGGGGCGGCGTCGATTGGTCGCGATGCACAACGGCCAAGTTCTGAGTGCGATTAATGGACACAAAGCTGTGGGCGACCCAACGGCCTGACACTGAAAAATAATATTCCCAGCCCACACTCCCGCATCTACCCAATTCCAGCCCCTCCTTCCCGCACCCTCCCTCCCCCTACGCTCTCCCCTCTCTCCCCTTGCACCGCAGTCCCTCCAGCTTTTACCTCTTCCATACACCTACCTACCGTACGGATCCACGGACTGCCCCGTCCTTGTCCTTTGCGGGCTAACCCACCAACTCCACTGCCGCTCAAGCATGTCAGAACGTCCGGACCCACTCAGCGCTAGGTAAAGACGCCGTGACCGTTGCCATATCCGGCATGGCTGCACACAATCTCCACCCGGGGAAGCGACTCCCCGCCCCCGCCGTCCATTCCTACTCGACATCCCAATCTCAGCCTTCTTCTCTGGTTGATAGAATCACGTCAAAGCCCTTTTCTTCGCGCTCCCGTCTCCGAATATCACTTGCATTTAACTATTCCAATCTCTACCGCTTTCTAATCGTCATCGGCTTGCTCTCTACAGCTTCTTTTCTGCTTTCTCATTACTCTTCCTACATTCTATCAGAGCCCTCCCTTTTCATCCCGTCACTTCTTCATTTGTCACAACATACTCGCCGCGTTGCGAAAAGGACTCTTCGGCTCTACCAACGCCAGCTCCATTTGCATCCACTCTTGTCTAGAGCTATTACTGCCGGTGTCATTTTCTTTATTGCCGACTTCCTCGCTCAGGTTCTCAACCGCCGCGCAAACCCGAAACCCCCAGCCTTCTCGTTCACTCGCCTACTCCGCTACACAGTTTATGGTCTCATCGCGATGGGTCCGTTTTTGTACCTGTGGTACGCCTTGATGAATGAGTATGGACCCGAAGATGACATTTCTGGTTCTTTGATCAAATGCATCTTTGAACAAATCACGCTGGAACCTATCTGTATTTCTATGTACATTATCTATGATGGCTTTGTCTGCCGCCGCGGTTGGAGCCCCGTTCGCAAGGCACTTGACGCCCAATTCTTTCCGCTCTGGTTCAAGAACGCTGTTTTTTGGCTCCCTGCAAATTTTGCTAATTACTACATCGGCACTCCAGATCTTAGAGTCGTCTTTGCGAACCTCTGTTCCCTGTTTTGGAATATTTACTTTTCGAGCAAGGTCAACAAGATGTCTGTTCCTTCCTTTGTCCCCCATGATGATAAGGACTCAAAATATTTGCAGCTTTCGAGTCATGACCGACAACAAGTTATTTCAAAAGCTGGGGCATATCAAACGCCACCCGACGCCCATGTTCGACGTGTAGGAGATCTCATCTCCAGTCCTAGGGTACCGTTACTACCTGTCTAGTGACTGACTGACGCTGCTGTAGCGGAAGGCGCCTGCTTGTAGTGATTGTGCCGGTCTGTACGCGGAATTCCTATACCACTCATCAGTATTGAAGTTTAATTCATATCAGTGTTTCTGTGATACACACGGTAATTTCTGTATTCGCCGACGACGTTGAATTCTGTACATAAACATCGCAACTTTTCCTTACTACGGCGAATGAAAAGCGTATTCTTTTCTCCAACTAAGGTGGAGACGAAGAAAAGGGCATGAATTGAAGGAATGCAGTGTTCATGTCCAGCACCATTTCGCCTTGACTTACTTGACTTGGAATATTTATTCACGCTGCAAAACATGAAGTGTGGTTACGCGTAGTAGGAAGGTGAAACTAATACTTCCGACACAATGTCCAACTCATCAGGAGCAAATGCTAGCTTGTGCGTCGACCATTCATCTCGATGAGTTCGCATGAAATCCGCAAAAAGCTTTCGTACACCCGTTGAAATCGGGGGAGGGTCATTCACGCAACTTGACAATGCAACGAGAACGGCAGGCATCCACTGTGGTACGCTGTACGGATTAGATGTGATCATGCTAGATAAACCTAGCACCGCGCCATGACGCTCACGCACTGTTTCCGAGTCTAACGGTTCCCGTTTCGACCCTCGACGCTTCGGAGTTGTGGATTCGAGGACCTTCATGCGACTGTTCCGAACTTCTTCCACTGCTTCAGTCGTGGCATCCCGTACCATGGTCACAAAAACTGCCGCAGCTGCTTGTCGCACTTCAAGCTGGGAATCTGCCAGCAGCGTCAGAACTATCTGTCGAATGTGCTGCATGGCATTTGGGCTAATCCTGAACAAAGAGACAAACGAGAACACCTGCAAGAACGCCAAAACTGAAGACCGCACCTTCCACCGCGGGTCGTTCACCGTCTCCTCAACTGCAACGATTACTTCTCTTATCGTCGATGATAAAAATCGTCCCTGCGCACAGAATGACAGGGCCATTCGCGCATGCGAGATACGCTCTGAATCACTCTCGTCAAATGAGGCAAACAAGGCCGGCAAAGCTTTGGGGACGTACTTTTCAAACGCAGTCGTTCTCCCACCCCACTGGACTATGGATATGAACCGAGACAGCGTTTCACCTTGTCTTGAACGGCTCTTCTTCTGTGCATCTTCTATCGAGCTAGAATCTGGGCCGGCAACGTCAGTCATTGCCCCTGGTGACATACGGCCGAAGAGCTCAGTAATCTTGTCATCGAAAAAGATTTCTGCCTGCTTCGGCACAATAGATGCAATCAGAGAGAGACATCTCGCCACTTCTTCTCGGACCGTTTTAAGCTGATGATCAAATCCGATTTCACTTGTGAGAGGACCCAATGTTTCTTTCACAAAACGTGAAGTAATATCTCCCTTCGACTCATCAATGTCAGCTACGCATGCATGCAGGTAACGCAATCTCCGGGCCTGCAGGTGGGCAACTGGTCCATCACCCATCGGTACTACAACCGGCTTCTTTTTTAGCAACCACTCCAATATACTGGCCCAGACGCCACATCCTACAGTGTGCGACTCTGAAGTGGCTATAAGCCGTATCAACGTCCCCCCAGTGACGTTGCCCAGGCGCCCTGTCATGTCACTGAGCAAAGCGAAGGCAAGACTTTGCAGCTTCTCCTCTGGGACACCATCTTCACAGTGATAAATGTCAAGGCCCCGACATATTCCAGCTAACATCTCCGCAGCCAAAACCCGTACGTCTTCAGGCTTCACCCCACTTATTATTATCTCCTGTTTCGCTTCCAGTTTCGCGATGAGGTCCGATAATGTCGGCGCCAACGCATCAAAAATGTACCTTCCAAAAACCCTGACGAATGATTCATACAATCGCATGCGCACTATATTCATATTATCCCGCGAACGAGGGACCCATGATGAAGGCCACGGTCGCCCCCCTGCCATCATCCAACAGGCGTCACCGTCGATGTTGCGGGATATATTCATCACAGCTATTGCACCACCGGCGTTCCCTATCATCTGATTTCGCCTTGATCCTCCTTCGGAATCGTCATGATCTAGTGCGAGGGTGTGGACTAGCTTCTTCGCAAACTGTGGTTCACAAACAACTTCACCAATTGCTCCGAGAGCCAAATTTCCGGCAGTTCTCCATGATGTCGGAGAATCATCAAAACTGGCATCTTCCGTTCGCTTTACTCCATCTCGTCTTCCATGCACTGCAAGAATGAACATAATTGCTTTTGAGCTAATCTGTCGTAACGTAACAACGTCCGACGCCATTCCCTTGATAAAAAACTCGGCCACACTTGCAGGTGGAGGCCTGTCTTCCCGTAAAATGATGTACAAAATTGTTGCAACTAGGCTTTGTAATCTCCAATGGGCTTCTTTCGTCTTGCTCAGTTCAGACCCCGCTCCATGTGACTGTTCTTGTTCTTTATCCTTTTTTAAAGACTCAGTTGTGCGGTTCAAGACTCCAAGCAAGTACTTGTTTAAATCGTCATAGAGCATAGTCCGCCTCTTCTCTTCGTCCCTTTCCGGAGCTGTGTAAGTTTCATCAGCAGTTGCAGAGAAATCTTCTCTGACAACCCGAATTGGTGTCAGACTCAATGGCCGCACAAGGGACGCAAGCTTACTGAACAAATAACTCACCGCACTCGCAGCGTCTGCACGTTCGGCGCTCAACATGGCATCAAGCAGAGCCTTCAAAATGGATATAAAAAGATCCCAGCTACGCATGATAATCGGGGCTGCAGCGGCACTGCGTAGTACGGCTGCTGCGCCAATCATTCTGTCGTACAGAATGTCTCCATTCTTCGCACCTGATGCACTTTGCGCCAGACGCTGCGTCGTGGTGCTCGGCATCTCTCCAGGTTTGTGCGGGTCCTCTGATTGCATTGCAACACCACGAGTGCTACTGGGGCTCGTAATGTCGCCGAGTTCTGAGGCCAATCCAGAAGAGGCAGTAACTGATATGGCAGACTCCTTGAGCACCGCAATGATACGCTGTATCTCACGGCGACGCACAGCAGGTTTCGCAAACCTCATGGCGCGAGTAAGAACGCCCCTAGCTTCCCCTCTCACACGAGGAAAGTCGTTAATTGCAAGACCAGCAACCTGAGAGATTAGCGTATCATTCAATGAGTCTGCTGTCAAGCCCCCACGCGCCGCAATGCTCAACCTCAGCTCGTGGTGCGCTTCAACGCGTAGTTTCACGATAAATCGAGGCATATCCCTGCCGGGACCTCCTTCTGCCCCAAAAGGCCTCTTTGACGCAACCACAGACGTGTAGATTGATTTGTATGCCGTGCATATGTGCAACGGTTGGCGAGTGGGACTTGCTTTCCGGAACGGCTCATGAGCGAGTTCGAGCGGCTCAAGTGTCCTATACAACAGAGCCCCATCGTCAGGCCGTGTCGCTATAACCATTGCCATGATTTCCGATACAAGCAAGTATGTCCTCGACCACAACTTTGTGGCTATTTCACGACCTCCTGATTCGACTCGTTCTCCGCCAAGACCTGCAGAAACAGGACGCTTTAGGATCATTTTTGCGTCTTGCTTGGACATGGAGATAGCCGCGTCTGCGAATCTGTCCAGCTCTTTCAGACGATCAGGTATTGCCCCAGCAAAAATCCACCGTCCACCCCTTTGAATCGCATGCAACATTCGAAGTGCTCGAAACAATACATCTCGATCATTGGTTACCTCAGGCTCCTTCAGCCCTTTGGAGCCTTCGTAACAAAGCTTTTCTGCTTGTTTCAAAAAGTACTCAACAAAATCTTCAGCACCAGCCCACTCCTCTTTTGAGGGTTCCTTCCACTGAAAACTGTATATCCCACCATCCGTGACGGCATCCTCCTCCGTTCCAAGGCCCGGCCCAAACTTCATTCGGGTACAGGACAACCCTTCAAGGAAACCTCGCAAGAGGCGCCCCCCAGCCTTGTAAATTGGCCGGGAAGGTTTGTCCATGGCCAGCCTTATGACAGTACTAATTTTCTCCTTAAACTGGAGCATTCTACCACATGTTCGCGATGCCTGCGCCAGCATACGAATTCGCCAAACCAATTCGTTCTCACCCACAGAGGTCAGAGTGTACTGTTCGTCAGTAGAGTCCGAAGACTTCTCGAGAATAAGGTCGAGAAGCTGTGGGATGAAGATGTTCGCAGAGCATCCGCTCTTCGCTTCTGCTGCGGCGGCTGCCGCAGTCCTGACGAGCAGAGCATAAAATTTTATGGCATTTGACACTGCCGCCCCTCTCACTTGTTTAGATATCCGCTGTGCCACGGTCACAGTGAGATCCCTGGGAAGAGCGCCGAGGAGGTTTTCCATAGAGACAGAAAATATGAAGAAAGATACCGGAGATCCCCCCCCGGATGGAAAGTGGCCGTTTCGGTTTTTCTTCGGGGGTGCCTCCAAGGATTCCAGAAGGGCAAAAACCCGTTCGAGAAGCTGAAAAACGTAGTCCTCAAGAAAATGAGCAACCGCACATCCAGGGTCTGAAGCGATAATACTTTGCAGGCGGCCAGCAGCTGAGGCTATGAATTTGAACGTAGCGTCCGTCTTGCTGAGATCGTTTGCATCGATTCCCGGGAGGGTCAGCATAAGAATTTGGGGAAGAAAATCTACGCCGTTCGGGAAAAAGCTCGGATCCATAAAGACTGGTGTCAAAGAGCTCAGGAGTCTCAATGCCGCAGATGTTCGGTGTGGGCTAGAAATGGATTGCAGCCCTTCTGCTGCTTGAACGAGGCACGGTTCGATAACGATCTCTGGAGATAAAATGGCTAGATCACGGGCTGCGCCTGCAGCCTGGACGGACACCGATCCATACTTAGAATGGAGAGCCTGCTGCATAAGTGGAAGCAACAGGTTGACCACACGGTTCACAAAATCCCGCGACAGTCTATGCTCCGCGGCAGCAACGGCTGACTGGGTCTTACTGCCGAAGATGCGCTCCGAAAGGCCCGCCTTCTCTGCGCGACGTTCATTAGTGACGCGACTGACAAAATGGGCTATCGTGTGAACAAGAAAACTGCAAGTAGTGACCGACCAGCGGCCAGTGTTGCTTGGGTGGAAGTAGTTGGCAATGAGCGCAATGAGACGCTCAAAAAAGTCCCACGAGACATCGTTCTTCGGATCCATGGAGTGGACGATGAAACCAGCGGCAGCAGGAACCATCTTGACATCGAGAAGAAAGTTGCAAAAATGGGGGCAACGCATATCCACAGCACTCTGTGGGGCAATTGCACCGAGAGGCAGATCCAAGGACTTTGTGAGACGAGTATAAACATAAGGTAGATGTGGAGTCCAGTCATGCACATGAGGATGCTGGCGAGCAGCTCTACACATGAATGTCATCCATATAGCGTCCCAATCCGACGACGACTCAATTGA